TCTCTAACCAAACAAGCCAAAATTTCAAGAGGAGCTAGTATCGAATACGCTTCAATTAGTTTGTCAAAAATATGCTTGCAATGAAATACTTATTTCTTATTGAAGAATATATTTTCTTGCTTGTTTTCCATCAAATAACCAGAATTAACACTATTATGTTTCACTTAATGAGCTTTCGAAATACATCTTCAGCTGTTATTTGTTGTCATGTCATTGATTTAAGTAGCACTTCGTAATAAAATTACTTATCCCTAAAGACGTTCTAAAAACAGAATGACATCCACTTTGGTTATCAGCAAGGAATGCATTCCTTGCCTTGTGCAGCCTTTGCCATGTGAATAATTTATGCTTAGTTGGAAAATCCTTAGGCGTACAAACTTCAGAAGTAATTATTTTTAATCTGTAACTCTTTCTCTTTCGCTCGCTAAAACGTACGCTATAAATGACAAAACTTAGGATTTCGGCTAATGAATTGATATTAGGTGACACGACGCATTTAGGTAAGGGTGAAGTAAAAGAAAGTAATACGTAAATTCGTTCGGAAGTCAATGCGATGGAAATTCTGTGATTCTTCGGAAAAGCCAATTACGTGTTTACCTGAAAGCTGTAAAACATAAATGCTGTCAGGAATAAAAATTCTTGGGATCAATATAAAAGTTTCTTATGTTTAATAATTCAAATAATTCACAACGTCGTTTTAGTACAGGGTAATGTCAAATTTGTGAAATTATTCTATATAATTTTGAAATTCTTTATATTTGCTGACCTTCTTATATTAAGATGACATGCCTTTTGCCCGTCGTTTTAGTACAGGGTGAAGTCAAATTTGTGAAATTATTCTATATAATTTTGAAATTCATTATATTTGCTGACCTTCTTATATTAAGATGATATGCCTTTTGCCCGTCGTTTTAGTACAGGGTAATGTCAAATTTGTGAATTTATTCTATATAATTTTGAAATTCATTATATTTGTTGACCTTCTTATATTAAGATGGTATGCCTTTTGACGTAGTTATATATTCTAAAATAAGAAGTAAAAATAAAACAACAGTTATTGGAATCTTTATAAATTAAAATGTCTTAAAATGGATTCGCACTTCAAAAAACTTGTAAGATTTGTGCATTAGTAAGACTGCGTTACTCCCCAAGCGCAATTCAAAATCAAGCAATATATTACGAATAGATTATCATACCATAACTTTTTCTTAATCCATAAAAAATAAATCGGCACTAAGCCATTAATGGTTAGATTATAGACTATTATGTAAAACGGAATTATTTTACCGTTTTTATGAATACTAATTTCATTGGCGGGAAATAAAAGCCGTCATCAATTGGAATAAATATAAATTAAGAAGGGTCTAAATGATAACTTGAAAACACATTTAATTTCTGTTAATGTTCCTCTTCTACAACGAATTTTCGTACATACTTTATTATGACTGGAAATAAGCATGGCGCTGTAACATTTCTTTAAGCACTCTGACTTCATTTTGAACTGCTTTTAAACTTATTATTAGGTGTGTGGTGTGGTGTGGTGTGGTGTATTTAATTATGGCAAAGCACACTAGGGCTATCTGCCTAAGGGAAGGGATGCCTTTCGTGGAGGACTTTCTAAGGGAAACTAGCTCGTATACACGTTACACATGGGGAAAACCACGAAAACGCTCATGCAGCCAGCCCGTTCGCGGGATTCGAACATCGGAGCGAACTACCAGTGTACAGCGACTTTACCGCTCGGCCGCTGGTGGGCGCCTTATTATTAGGTATCGAAATAAAATATTTGCATTCTATTGCCGTTGCAAGATTTCCTGTAATTCTAGATTCCATATACACGTGAGTCATGTGAATACTGAATTTTATTGTTGTTAGTATTTCATATTTGTAATTTTCAGAAATTTTGCATGATTTTAAATATAAATATTAATTTAAAGTAATTATTCGTTCTTTTTAATATATTTCAAAATAGTATTTAGCTTATTGCAAAACAGAGTATTGCAAAAAATTTATAATTGAAATTTTTTACCCCATGCATGCTTTAAACTGCTTCAGAGCTCTTCTAAGCATAATGTTACTGTATATATATTCTTGTTTTGGTATTAACAACAAAAGCAAATTGCAAAATTTGTTAACCAGGCTTTATGTTAAATATACTAACTCGTGAACAATAAGCAGCATCTAGTATCTAATACAATTTTTTAGTTTCAGCAATTCCTAATATTTGGTAATATTCGGAATGGATAAAGAATCAATTATAATATTATTTCTTTAAATTTACTGTTGGTATTATGTGCTCTTCCATCAATTTTAGATTTACTGGTTAAGTGATGAAAATCGGAAACCGGTGGATGGTATGCTTGTTTCCCATTACACCAATTTTTATATAGTGCGTATTAAATAAATATTGTTAACACATCTAGTATTCGCATGCTATTTTATTTTCGTAATCCTTTTGAGGGATTTTCTAATAGTTATAAAGAACAAATTAATCGGCTTAAAGTACCGCAATGTGACAAATCTCTTTAAAAAAAAAAAAAAAAAAAATATTGGCTGGTGTAAATGAAAGGGCATATAAATAAACTTCATGTATGTATGTATATATATATAACGTTTGTACATACATGTTATATATATAAAATATTATATATATGAATGAAAAGTAAAAATGAATAAAAATGAAAGATATAGATTCATTTAATTGTTTTTCGGAAAACATTATTATGGCCCACCAGCGGCCGAGCGGTAAAGACGCCGAACACTGGCAGTTCGGTCCCAGGTTCGAATCCCGCGAACGGGCTGGCTGCATGGGCGTTTTCGTGGTTTTCTTCATGTGTAACGTATATACGAGCCAGTTTCCCTTAGAAAGTCCTCCACGAAGGCATTCCTCCCTTTAGGCAGATAGCACTCGTGTGCTTTGCCATAATCGAATAATCTAACCTGAAAATATTATAATTTTGAAACTTTAATTTACGTCTTTATTGGTTCAGAAACGGCAGAATTACTCACTTCTTTCATTACAACAAACCCCTGATAACGACGCAGCGAAAGATGTAAATTTCATATTTCATTTTGGTTTTGGCAGGTATTGACCCTTTATATTGCAGTTTTCCACTAGTTTTTGTTTTTGAATATAATTTCTTTCGAAATTATTATGGGATAAATTTTAAACTTATTATTTGTTTTAATTTATTTTACATATGCATGCATATATATATATTAATGTGATTCGAATTTGCGCAGTATAAATGCATAGTTTTTTTTTTTTTTTTTTTTTTTTTTTTTTTTAAATTCTGTACAGTATAGGAAGCGTTTTTCTTTACAAAATTTTACATAAAGCAAACTTTTATAGATTACGCTATTGAAGATGGAATCACACTGTATACTTTTCAACCTGAGAAGCAGTAATCCCTTAACGAGGATGACATTTTCATGAATGATTGATGAAAAATGGAGCAGAGGAAAGAAAAATTAATCTTAGTGGAGATGCGAAAGAAATTTATGCTTCGATGTCTTTTTACTTGAGGAAAGTTTGCCAATCAGAATTCCTGACAAGTTCTTTTGATGAGCCTGATTCCACTTTGATGAATAGCATGTCACGGAAAATCTTATGGATTGCTCGCTAAAATAAGTCTTCTTGTACGCTGTGAGACTTTGATCAGTTCGAAGTTAGAGAAAAATTACCGAATACCATCTTTCGTCGGGAAGAGTTTTATAAGGAACACATAATAAAGAAAACATTAATAGTGACGCATAAAATATTCTTAAAGAATTAAATGTTTTCTTCTTTAAAAGAAAGACTGCATAAATTTTTGTAATTTTTCAAAATGCATATGAAAAATACTTAGTCATTAATTTTCCCCACGTAATTAATTTGAATTGCAAATGGTAAACTAAAAAGAAGGCAGGAGTTACTACCTCAGTAACAAGCAAACAAAAAGTGCAGTGATATATAGTCTTGATTACAATATTTAACCCTTAGATGAAATCTTGGAAACTCAAAGTGCTGATAAAATTTATATTTAAAATCAGTAACACGGGAACATAATATAATTTTGCATGAAAAGTTTCTAAATTCTAGTTTTGAGGTTGCTTTTGTTTATTTAAATACGAAACAATGTTCATTATAATATATAAAAGTAACTATTTTTTAATAATAACAACAAAACTTGATGTTAATAAAAATCGTGGATTTAAATTATTCCGAATTGAATATGGAATGAATTTTAAACGGATTATTTATTTTAATTAATTTTGGTAGTTAAAGCTTAATAAACCTTTGTAGAGTCATTAGGTTAATTGGAAGCAGAAAAGATGAAATATGCAACCGCTTTCGCCGGGAATCGAATCACGGACCTCTGGAATACCGGCCCAGCGTGCTACCGTTACACCACGAAGGCACGCTAGGGAAGTGAGAGAAATACCTTATATACTCCCCTTTTTAAAGGGCGACTAGGGTTTTATAGGACCTAGTCGCCAAATCCTGGGTCGGAGAATCATCATCCACAACCTTTTTAGTTCGGGCGCCACTTGTAGAGTCATTAGGTTAACTGTAAGCAGAAAAGATGAAAAATATGCAACCGTCTTCGCTGGGATTAGAACCACGGACCTCTGGAATACCGGCCCAGCGTGCTACTGTTACACCACCAAGGCACGCTAGGGAAGTGGGAGAAATACCTTATACCTTCTGCTATAATACAAACTTTATAGGACAAACGAAATCAAATATAGCTGAATAATTATATCCAAATTTAAAACTTTATTATGTATTTTTTAAACGTTTACTTAAGTTACATATATTCAGTTCTGGAGAGTTTTTTGTAGCCATTAAATGAGATATCTTTACCCCAAAATTAAAAGAAATGAAATATTTGAAAACTTTTCCTGTAAAACTCATTTAAACCTTTTGATTTCTGAGAAAATGCTTTCCATACGCTACTTTATCATTAAAATAGTTTTAATAATCTTCATGATTTAATGAACTGTCACTTTTCGTTTAGGTAAAAAAAGGGAACGCTGTATGTGATGAGCTCCTATCTTCTGAAGAATATGTATGAAAAGAAAAAAACCGAAAGAAAAGAAAAAAAAGGAAGAAAATAGTAATCCATATTCTATCATCCGAGATTAAAATATTTTTAATTTACAGAATATGTAAAAATTGGACATTTATTTTGTGTACTAACTATAATACATGTTTTTTACTAACTACAAATGTATTTAAACTAAATTTATTATTAAGGTAATTTAAATTTAAAGCAAATAACAAAAACTAATTTATTTTATCTTCAAGTCACTATCTGTTGTCTGAGAAAACAAGTTTCAGTATTAAGCTTCCTCTTATTTAGAAAAATAAGAAAATTTTACCTTAGTAATTTATTTTTACTTGTTGAAATTATTATAAAGAGCAATTTTATGTTGTAAAAATAAACTATTAAATCATGTTAAAATTATTCTTCAGAACAATTTTAAACTTTTATTGACTTTAAAAATGGAGTCTTGAAAATTTTTGAACCATTGTGTTATGTTACGTTGATTTACCGTATCACACATTTTTGATCCTCGCGATTTGGAAATTGTTGCTACTGAGATAATTTAAAACCTTTCAATTATATCGAAAATAGTCAGTTCTCAAAGTATAGTTATTCAGGAAAGCATAAGATATTTCATTTCTCGTTAAAATTTAATGAATTTGAAACTCCGTAAAAATATATCATTTGAATGCAATGAATAAATTTCTCAAAGATTTATTTTTCTAATTTTTAGTAATGTATTCAATTGGTGTTATTTAAATATAATTTATAATACATTCAATCAATAATTCCGAAGAACAGTTGCACCATTTTTGAAATCGATAAGAATATGTGTAACGGCATTTGTTATAACTCTGCACTAAATTGTTTCTTAACAATTTTCCATAAACATTTTGTTAAACAAGTGAAAGGAATCAATCTTCGCTAGCCTGGTTGTTCCCAACATGAAAATTACATTAGAAAAATTCGATTTGTTCTCGTTTCGATGCAATAGATTAGGTGCGCATTTAACAATCACAATCTGACTGTATGAAAGTATTGTTGAGCTCCTGGGAATTCGCAGTAATGTTGTAAATTTGTGAAAATATGGGCAGAATAATCAATCAATAGACTTTGCAAAAGCAATTTTAATAAAGGAAATAAATAGCGTTCGCGCCTACCCCTGCGGCGAGGGAAGGGGTGTAAACAGCTGTTCAAAACGCACAAAATCAGCAGTCAAACGTTGTAAATTAGGTAGGGTGTGTGTGTGTGTGTGATTATGGCAAAGCCTCGAGGGCTATCTGCCTAAGAGGAGGGATGCCTTCGTGGAGGACTTTCTAAGGGAAACTGGCTCGTATACACGTTACACATGGGTAAATTAGGTAGAAAAGATCAGAAATGACATTTTTTCCCTCTTGGCGCAATCCAGCCTAGTTTCGTTGCTGATTTTCATTGCAGTAAAGAAATAAAAAGACATGAGAAATAGACTAGTCAGGAGAGTTGAAAACATTGGTCTGCAGATGTATTGGCTGTCGGATCGACAGAAACGAAGTGTCGGTTGTTGTGCAGTATCGAAACAGAAGCATTAAATTGTTCCGTATATTCAGAAACATTTAGCCATTTATCGTCTGTAAGCACGCGTCTAAAGAACCTGTGTGTTATTTGACACTTTTGCGTTGTGAAAACAAATTGCGATTTATAAGTGTTCAAAACTTTCGTGTGTAAATGCTAATAAAGCTTACGCGGAGTATGGGCATAAATATGCAAAACAAAGTTGGGCATATGTGCGAGAAAGATAAAGATGCGAAATTGGAGGCCAGCTTTTCGTGTATGTTGCATCATTTTTTCCTCATACATGGACACATAAAAAAGATTGCCATGTGAAATTTGGATTTACCATGATATAGAGAACAAACTGATCACGAAACAGAGTACCATTTCTTATTAATTCCTCCTGTTTGCAAGGGATATACTAAAACGAAAAAAGACACTTTCTGGTTCAATGACTTTCTGGTTCAATCTTCTGGTTCAATCAATGGGGCACCGAGATCTGCCCTCTTAGCTAGATCCCTGATTTTACATAATCGAGATGACAGAGCCCCCCCCAGAATGCTTCAGCTTGGAGATGAATGAACGAGATAATATAGAGCAGTCCTCGGCATCTCAAGACTCTGAATGTCCCCAATCATTGGCGGCTAGTAAACAACATAAAATAACACAAGCCAAATTAAATAACCTGTAGAGATTTATATTTATTTTAACTAATAATTAAAATTTTAGTTCAGACTTTCCTATAAGCCTTCATTCCCCTAATTGCCAGTGCCAGAATAGTTAAATTTGGTAGCGCGCGTGGAAGAATGCAAATTGAGGAGGAATGTTTAACTACCGAAGCTTTAGAAGAGAAGTTAGAAAGTTGGGCTGTAGCTGCCGTCTGTGCCGTAGGTACGCTTGCTGATTGCTGGTTCAAGTGGCGTAATTGCATTTATCTGCTGCCACTAGTTTTGGAAGGGAGTTGAAGTTCGGGATCTCGCTGAGCCCTGTAGGTCAGTTTAGCTCTAGTTAAACATTTCAACTTTTGATTTTCAATCACCTGTTTTTCAGTTACGGCCGAAGTACAGGCGAAGTTTGTTAGCGTCGAGTTGACGCAGTGTAAATTTTAAAGAGTTAATAAAGGGTTTGAACCCTTCTTCTGTGTAGTTTCTTTGCTACTCCTGTATCCAGATAGAAGTTAACCCACCTGGACACTACAAACCTAATCAGGAGCTTCCAAAATATAATAATGATTTATTGAATTTGTAGCTGCAACAATAAGATCATCGGGAAAATAAAACTGTTTCTGCTCTTTTTGAAGTAAACGAGAACCTGATTTTGTGCAATGGCATCGAAGATTTCTTCAACGATGAATATGTCACATATGTCAAAAAACTACCAACTTTTTATAGATTCTTTCAAGTTGTCTTTCGAAGTATTTTGCTGTATTATGATACTGTTCTTCCTTCGATACCTCTTGCTTATGTAGTTGATTTTATGGAAATTTATGAGGGTATGGAAAATATTCTTCTGTAATATTAGATTCGTATCATAAATTTGCTTTAATTTTAAGATTACTAAAATTTCGCTGGATTTAAAAAAGGGTTTAAATGGAATACTGTTTTTTTTCCTTTCTATCGACAGTCGTACCAGGACTTTTCATTACGAAAAGGACTTTTTTTACATCTTTCACAAATGGTATGTACTTCACAACCTTTTCCGAAGTCTAACAAAGATACTGATTCCCTTACTTCATATCTAAAAGCGACTGGTAAATAACTTTGTAAATGAGTAGTGAAATGATGGTACAATACACATTTGCACATCTAAGTTTGGGTAAGATGAAAGAAGGTATATTTAAATCTCAATACATGATTGATTATGTGATTTTTAGATTTCATTGAACCAGAAAGTTATTGTTGATTAACAAACAGCACTTACAAGGGAAAATAAAATACTAAAATTTGTAGAACAGTGTAATTTAAAAGAATTTTTTTAAAAAAGTAACTGTATTATATGTACCCACATTTATAAAATTTTGGAGTCATCAAGAAATCAGAGGAATAGAGTGTTTCAGAAATAAACAAAAGTTTCAGAAAATGTTAAATAAAGTCAGACGTGCAAAATATTACAAACACAGATTTAAAGAGGATTTCTGAACTCAACAGCGTCCTCTGGACAATAGTGTGAGGCGGTTACGTAAAGGACCCATGCAATTCACGAACCAGACAAGTAATATATCATTGTCTGTGAAATGGAGGCTGTCCCATAAGAGCTACTATAAATCATCGATATCAAAGGGCGGCATAGAAATAAATCACAGACAACTGGAATGAAATATCAGCCTGCATAAAGAATTACAAAAAAGTGCACTTTGTTCTTTAGTATTAGTACAACTCTGAAAGACTTCTGGGATTGTCTGCTTTTGCGAGCCGGCGGGATCTACTAAACTAAGATTCGCTGCAAGCATAGCATGACCGTGAACCATAGTCTCCAAACAGTACAGATAGTACATGAAGACAGAAAACGGCGTGAAATATGTCGCGTTTTATGGTGATTTCCGATTTAACCTGCATTATAGAGATACCTGCACTGTAGGGAGGGCAGTACACGTATTAGAGGCTATTGTGGTAAGCACATTCCTTCTAATATACTTTTGAGTAGCATGGAGGGAAAACGGCTGTTGTGTTTGAGTAGAACTCCATATGTTTGTACTGGTGATTCCAGTTGCTACATTTTGATATGTCAAAAATGTTCTAACAGCTTAGATAATGCATTTCCTTTTGGTCATTCCTTGGTTTATATTCCGATAAGAAAACGCTTGGTTACGTGCTGCACAGAATGCTGAAGTCTTCGAGATGCGGTAGATATCTTTTCCTCTCTCGCATATCCCCGACTGAAATGCATGAAATATCATCATTCGACAACTGGACAATTCGTTTCCTTCGGCAGTCAATATTAGTGAACTGTTTAACTCGAACTGCAGCAGCCTATCCGGCAATATCCCAGTGAGAAATAGGTTTTTCCCTGGGATATTGCCGGAAATCTTTGGTTCGATGCCGTGACATAGAAAAACAGCCATTACCATTCGTTGCAAATTTCCAAAATCTTATTTCCATGACATTAATATAATTTTACTGGTGTTAAAACTTTAAACGCGTATTTTCATTATTATGAGTAATACGTAATACAAATTTCTTTCCAATCTGATGAAAACTTTATGGCGTTATAAATTTTGTAAATACGAATATGTAAATATCATTAACTACAAGACCTCTAGTAATTCAAGCTAAAAGGTCTGTTGACGCTCAAAAGCATGAAGTGGCGACTGAGAAAAAATAGAACTTCAATTCGAATGAACTGTGAACTGAATTGAAGAAACTGTGCTTAAGAAAGTGAATTTATGCAGCTGATTTTTGAATAACTTTATATTTAGTGTTTCGATGAAAGCAAAGTGTCAGTGATTATTATGTCCGGAATTAGCTAAAGATTACAGTAGCTACGTTTATATTATAGAAATGAGTATAAGAATATGGAAATGAATCACGGTATGTAATTTA